CAATGACTCACACAGAAGCAACATGCCAAAATAGACACAAGCAGGAACATAAAATGAACCATGATGTAAATAAGCTTCCTCTTCATACTGTTTAGTTAGCTATGCTAGTTACTTGGAGTTGGTTAGTCACTAACATTACCTAAACTAGATACTCACTTTTGATCTTGTTGTTTATTAAATAGCGATGATGTGAAGATGATGGAGTCTCCGCTGACACCGTCTACCTTGTATAAGATGTTTATTACAAAGTAAAACAGTATCATTTCAAGCACCATAAAGTACCTGAGAGAGGATCTGTGCCAATTCTAATGTGTCCCCTCCAGAACAATATAGCCTACTGCTTATATAGGGTCGCTGTTTTTGACAAAGGGAGCAGAACATATGGTCCTTCTTAAAATAGTCTCATTCTTCTGGAACTATAAGAGGAAGGCAACCTTGACTCTTGGACCTGTGGACCAGGGGCTCCTAACTTAAACATTCCAAACCTACAAAGTCAGATAACACATGGAGCTCGGATACTACGCCTTCTTCTGCAAAGCTACTCTTTTAAATATACTTCAATCTCAACAACAACAAAAAGTGAATTCAAGTTTTTGGCTTATTAAGTTTGCAGTTAAAGATGATCTGTTTCAACCATCAGCAAGTAGATAACATCTCACAGCATGATCACAGCTGATTACAGGCTGCTGTTGGGGTAGTGATGCTAATAAAGGAGAAACTGTCCCTCGGTCTCCTCAGGGTCAGACGCTGAGCGAAGCTGCTTGATGTTGTTCAAACTTTGGGAAACTGTCCGGAGTGAAATGTGACATCCCTGTCAGGTACCTCACTGTAGTAGAAATGGTATTGATATGTGTATATTGGTTAAAACAGCAGTAGTGGAGGAAGCTGTGTGATGTTTCTTTTTTCCAAGTGATCAAATATGGACCAAATCCAAGGTGAAGATATATATAAGATATATATTATAATATATAAATATATTTAGCTGTCTATTTGGGTTAGCAAATCTAGGAATGCTGATGTGGTTCAATTATTCAGTGAATAATGAATTTCATGAATTTTACCATTAAGTAAAATCAAAATGCATGTCAACAACATCCACACAATAAACATACAGAGATGAAATCAAAGAAACTGCCCCTCTGTCTCCTCAGGGTCAGACGCTGAGCGAATCTGCTTGATGTTCTCCAAACTTTGGGAAACTGTCCGGAGTGAAATGTGCAGAGTAAACTAACAACTTTAAATTGAAGTTGTTAAAGATGTGGAAGCTGAAGTTCCTGTTCAACAGCTTGTTTTGTGAATTTTCTATTACACCTTAAATAGTGCCGCCGTTACATTCTGGTGCCTGTACAAGCTGTAGCGTTTAAGGTGGAATGGAACATTCGATTCAGAAGCTGGCAAATAGGAAGGAACTTCAGCCTCATTTTAAGGTGAACATCAGCCGTGCCTCGTCACACTTCCATAGGAAGGGAATGAAAAGTGCTGACATCCCTTGACAGCCTGGAGTGGTACATTTCTGCACCCAGTCTGCCATTTTCATTGCTGCTGCTCTGCTGTCGTTGGTTGCTGCGTGGGCTGGTGTATGTGAATTATGGAGGTGTAAATATTAGTGAAGACTGTTACTTAACAGTTTAGGATTTGGGAATCAGCCTGTTTTGCCCTCTTTTGCAAATGTGAGGTTTTCATTTGAAGGAGGAGTCAGCAGTGTTTGAGCTTCACAGTGTATCAGTTCCATGTACCAAACTCTCCTTATTCAGCTATGCCAATGTAATTACATTTTCCATTGTAAGGCATCTATTCACATCTGCTGCTGACAACGCCCCTCCTTGCCAGCAGAGGTCACTATCACCTGAATACTAGTTTAGACCATGCACCTGAGTCAGAAGCCACTTTGTTTAGTATTTACACCCCGTGTTTTCAGCTACGCCTTGCGAAGTCTTGTTTGGTTACCTTCCCTGCAATTCTGTGCTGTGCTCTCTTGTAGCCCTACAGTTTTCTGGGACTCTGTATGTATATGTATGTACATTTAGTGTTTTTGGGACTGTCTGCTATTGTTCTGTTTTGACATGGTTGGCCTTCTTTGGCTCTTTTGCTTCAGTCTCCTGATCTTGCTCTCAATAAACTTGGATTACAAGCTCATGACACATCTATAAGGACACACTCATATTTTGCCCAATTGATGGAGCAGCCAGATAGATTTCTATAGTTAGTGATCAGATTCTGGAGTGACGGGAGGGACAATGAAGGAGTGGTGATGTATAGTAAGATGTCATCAGCATACAGATTAATTTTATGGTGGTATGATTTTGACTGAATGCCTGATTTTTATTGGAGTGTCTAATAAAAGAAGCCAGAGGTTTAACAGAAAGGGCAAACAGTTAGGAGAGCATGGACATCCCTGTCAGGTACCTCACTGTAGTAGAAATGGTATTGATACGTGTATATTGGTTAAAACAGCAGTAGTGGAGGAAGCTGTGTGATGTTTCTTTTTTCCAAGTGATCAAATATGGACCAAATCCAAGGTGAAGATATATATAAGATATATATTATAATATATAAATATATTTAGCTGTCTATTTGGGTTAGCAAATCTAGGAATGCTGATGTGGTTCAATTATTCAGTGAATAATGAATTTCAGTAACATCAAAATGCATGTCAGCAACATCCACACAGTAAATATAAACATACAGAGATGAAATCAAAGAAGATCCTTTGAAAATATTAGCAATATCTCAACATAGCAAAGTCTAACAACTAATCAACATCTATTTGAAGCTTTTTGGATGTGGAGAAAGCTCTCCTAGGAGCTTAAAATTGTAGTAGTAGTTCAGCAGTATTGGGTAATGTTTTTTCAAGCAAGATGAGACATTTTTTCAACATATGATTTTATTCACTATGTCAATTATTTGTTATATTAAGAACAATCACTGCTTATGCCATTGACAAATCAGTTAATCATTACCTGAAGACGTCATTATCAACACAGTGCATATTTCAGTCCATGTTTTTTGGACAGATGTTGGGTTTAAATCACTGAGGTGAAGTGCTTTAATGTCAAAGTCAAACAGTAATTAGTAAACAGAAATAGTCACTTTATAAATGCATATTTTAAATGTATTTAAAATTATAATTTGCATATATCATTTGCAAGAGTGATTTTAATGTAGTTTTATGTTACTCTTTTTTGCTGTGATGGTAATGATATTTTTTTGCAAAACTCTCATATTAGATTGAACTGCTTGTGAAGTTTATTCAAAGCAGACCTTCATTCTACAACATAATAAAATTATAACACATAAAACAGAGTTTTTAAATTTTCAAGCAGTCAGTTGTACCCATGCATAATAAATGAGAACAAAACCTTGTTTGTCTAAAAAGTTAAATGAACAGAAGGAAAATCTTTGGTAGTTTGCAGGTTAATAGAGATTTTTTTTTTTTATCCCAATTAATTTTGGAATATTTTTTATTTTCCATTCGTTAAAGGAGAGTGTAAAGGACATCTAGCTACACTGTGTGGACAAAAGTACTGGGACACAATTCTTAATTACTGAATTCAGGTGTTTCATTCAGTCTCATTGCCACAGTTCACTGAGTTCGAGCGTGGTTTTGCTATAGGACACCACTGTTGCAACAAGTTTGTGACATTTTCTTCCCTCCTACATATTTCATGATCAACTGTGAGTGTATTATTGAAAAGTGGAAGTGTTTAGTAACCACAGCAACTCAGCCATGAAGTGTGAGACCACGTAAAGTTACAGAGCAGGTCTCTGAGTGCTGAGGAGCATAGATTATAAAAGTCTCCAAAACTCTGCTGATAAGTAACTGCAGAGTTCAGCACAAAAACCGACGGCTGGGAGCTTCATGGCAGGGTTTCCATGGCCGAGCAGCTCCATGCAAGACTTACATTACCAAGCATGCCAAGCGTCGGATGGAGTGGAGTAAAGCACCGCCACTGGACTCTGGAGCAGTGGAAACGTATTCTGTGGAGTGACCAATCACACTTCTCTATCTGTCAGTCTGATGGACGAGTCTGGGTTTGGCGAATGCCAGGAGAACGTTACCTGCCTGACTGCACTGTGCCAGCTGTAGAGTTTGGTGGAGGAGGGATGATGATATGGGGCTGTTTTTCAGGGGTTGGTCTAGAACCTTTAGTTCCAGTGAAGGAAAATCTTAATGCTTCAGCAGAACAAGACATTTTGCACAGTTGTATGCTTCCAACTTTGCGGGAACAGTTTGGGGAAGAACCTTTTCTGTTCCAGCATGACAAAGCAGCTCCATAAAGGCATGGCTGGGTGAGTTTGGTGTGGAAGAACTTGCCTGGCCCTCACAGAGCCCTTTGGGATGAACTAGAACAGAAATTGAGAGCCAGGCCCTCTCGTCCAACATCAGTGTCTGACCCCACAAATGCTCTTCTGGATGAATGGGCAGAAATTCCCACAGACACACTCCAAACTCTTGTAGAAGCTTCCCAGAAGAGTGGAAACTGTTAGAGCTGCAAAGGGGGACCAACTTTATATTAATGCCTATGGATTTAGAATGGGATTCATAAAATCTCCTGCAGGTGTGATGTGAAGGTGTCCCAAGACTTCTGTTCATATAGTGTATTTCAGAGTATGTCAAAAAATAAATAGTGGACATGGTTTGGTCCCAACAGCAAGGATATTCACTTTTCAATTGCATACTATACATATGAATAAAGTGTGGGATAAATTATAGTTAAAACATGATGTAAAATGTGCCCCTAATTAAACAATCAAAGCATTTAACTTATGTACATATTTGCTTTTCTATTATGAAAAGTTACAACTGAACAGTTTTTAAGTAAATCGCTTTTTTTGGAAGGGAATGGTGACTAAAATTTTAATATGATTTCTCAGTAAAAACACATTTGTTTCCTTATGTTGTTCAGGTGAATATTTACACCACATTAGATAATAATTCGATAACAAACAGGAAGTCTACATTTTCATTGGTTCTACTTCATTGGTGAACTCACCAGCACTCATAAGTCACAAATTCTTAAGGTTGAATCACAGTTGATCTTAAACCCGGCGTAGAGAGGTCTATTGAACTTGGTCTGGACTTTGTGTAGGAGGGTCATTGTGTCAGAAACGCTGTAGAAGGACAGAGTTCCTGCCTCGTGATCCAAATATACTCCTATTCTAGAGCAATTGGGCACTTTGGGGACTTCAGTCTTGTTATTGTTGTGCCAGAAGTGCCAGTTTTTTTCAGTGAATCTTAATCTCCACGACTGATTATCACGACCAAACAGACTGTCCGAACCAGCCCTCTGTAGCCCTTTATATGCCACTGCTATAGAGACTCCAAGCTTCCCACTCCACTCCACCTCCCAGTAACAACGTCCTGCCAGACCCTCTCTGCACAGAACCTGCTCATGCTCGACAAATCTCTCTGGATGACTAGGGTACGAAGTGCCTTCTTTATTGCAGGTCACTTTTTTGTTCCCTTCAGAGAGCCACAGTAGCCGGTTTGTTGTGTTGGTGTCCAGGGTGAGCAGGCAGGAATCTGAAAATGAGAGAAAAATGTCCTAATTTTAAATATTTTAAATAGTAATTGTCATAATTGTTGTTTTTCCATCATCACTGACTTTTTTACCCATTTTGAGTGCTGGTTTACAAGACATTTCAATGAACAAACCCAAATAGGCTATGCTTCAGTAACAGTGAGAACCGAAAGTGCTGCTTTTCAATAGAGGACTGGAGTCATGGTCAAAAGTTGGATTTGTCAAATACCAAGTTAGTATTGGGTTCAGTATTGGTATCATTGGTGTCAGTGCTGGAACTCACGTTGGAGAAACTCTTCTCTGGTTCTGGGTTCAGTCTGCTTAATTATTTCAACAGCCTTAACTTTGAAGATAGAATAAACACAAACACATACTAAATTCAAATATCCTGACATTATTTATTCTTCAAATCATCCATTGTATTGTTTATTGGAATCAATTAATGATCATATGTACTTTTTTAGTCAGACATTGATGGAATGTTCTTACCTTCTTTGTCTATCCTGCCAATGGTCACTGTGCTGAAATCTTCTAGTTGGTCTTTAAATTCACTGAGAGATTTCTCTACATATGCAAAGGTGCTTTGAGGACTGAGGGTGATGGTCAGCAAGTCTTTGGCCTCAATAGGGGCAGATAGAGACTGGAAACTCTGCAGAAAAAAGGCAAATTCATAACAGTTTCACAACTCACAGGTTCTGACCAATTGGTCGTATCTAAACAGTCGTGGGCTGTTTGGGGTTAGGGAACCAGCCTTGTGACCAGAAGGTTGCCAGTTTGATCCCCTCAGCTGACAGGACACAACTGAAATGCCCTTGGGCAAGGCACCTAACCCCCAACTGCTCCCTGGGTGCTGTGGATAGGGCTGCCCACCACTCTGGGCAAGTGTGCTCACTGCCACCTAGTGTGTGTGCTTTAACTAGTGTGTATGTGGGTGTTTCACTGCACAGATGAACTAAATGCGGACGTGAATTTCCCCGTTGTGGAATTAATAAAGGGTAACTTAACTTACTCTTAAAACCAGGGATGTTTATCCCCTTAAAAATCTCAGGTTTACTACATACTAAGCTTATTTTTCAGGGACAACAGGGACTCCAGTGCAACCTGACTGGGCTATTCTTAGATTATATAAATGTGTGATTAAACTTTAGGCCTGGCGATTCAAAGAGTTAAAAAAGTCAAGTGTAGGAGTTGGTCTACTGTTTTTTAAAAGTTCTATTCACAGGTGATTATTACGAGAAATGTTGCTCTTAAATCATCAGTCAATTAAATGTTGACATCTGTCAGCAGATTCTGATGGATCTCACTCATGTTGGTCAAGTTTTTCCCCTCTTATCTTATTTGAAATTATATCTACACACTTAAAAAAAGATGTTTTTAAGGGTTTTATAGTAAAGAACATGGTTCTATATAGAATCATGAACACTGCATGATTAAAGCGTTCTTTGAATCGTGAAATGGCTCTTCAGACTGATGGAGAATGTGTTGTAGATGGTTCTGTGATAGCAGAATGCTTTTTGGTGCTATATAGAATCCTCTATAGTCTCTACAGAACCATCTAGAGCACATTCTCTATCTAGAAGAGCCTTTCAATGATGCAAAGATCCCTCATGCAAATGGTTGCTTGAGTGTTATATATTCAGGCTGCTTTAGTAGGTCTTTAGGAAGAAAGTTTGTGTGGTTGGCTTGGAAGTCCAAGTTAATCCTACTATGATGTCCCCCCAAATACAATACATAATGTGTTAAAATAATGGCAAAGTGAAACCACTACTGTAAAGGACCAGGTAGTATGTGATGATACCTGGAGGAAGTGAATGTGATCATATGTTTGTAAAAGCTCCTCAATCTCTTCAGTTCTCCTCTTGAGATTAGCAATCTCCTGCTCCAGTTTCACCAGGACACCTTCAGCTTGCCTCACTGAAGCCCTCTCCTGAGCTTTGATCATCTCCACCACTTCAGACTGTTTTCTCAAAAGAAAGGATGCAAACTCAGTGAAGATCTTCTCAGTACGCTGTATAGATACCTGTGCCGAGAGCTGTAAGAAAAGAGAGGGACGGAAGCTCTATTTAGAATCAGATAAGTGCTGGGTGTGCTGCAAAACTAGATTTGCTGGTTAAACGATTCAGGTCAAGGTGTTTTGGTCCAGTTAATGAGCTCCTTTCATGTCGTGGAAGCAGGCTTATTTACCACTAAAACACCATTTATTAATTTCTGTGCATACACACTTTGAATAGCCACAGTCGTAATTAGCATGAGGACCCTGGTCCGGACCTCAGTATTTTCAGAAGGGTTTTATTGGATTCAGTGTAAACACAGTGATGAGATTACTCAGACAGCACTGACAGGTTCTCAGCTTAGACATCCACTCTGTTTATATCTGTATGAGATGCTTTGCCAAATAGAGTGACTTTGAATAAATGGGGGGTAAATGAGGAAGTACACAATAGAGAACTAATGATTAACTACATAATTTAAAGGTAAATGATATCAAATCATTTTTATATTAATAATATCATTTTAGGAACAAGAGAAGGATAAAAATGGATGGGTAAGCAATGAATTCCATCCATCCATCCATCATCTAAACCACTTATCCTTCTGGGTCGCGGTGGGGTGCTGGAGCCTATCCCAGCTGTCATTGGGCGGAAGGCAGGATACACCCTGGACAGGTCGCCAGTCCATCGCAGGGCAGACAGACAGACATACACATTCACACACTCACTCACACCTAGGGGCAATTCAGCATGTCCAATCAGCCTGACTGCATGTTTTTGGACTGTGGGAGGAAACCGGAGTACCCGGAGGAAACCCACGCAGACACGGGGAGAACATGCAAACTCCTAAGCAATGAATTATTTTTGAAAAAAGAAAGGAGAAATTGGCAGTTGGTCTAGTACATATATTCAGCTGTTGGTTTATTCAATGTGATGTAGGTCGCAAAATGGACCTCACTAAAGTTTTGATCCTAATTACAAACCTGTCTGCAGGAAACAGTAGCAGAAAAGCAGCACGGCTATTTTTGACTGGTGAAATAATTTAATTTAATAATACTTATAAGTACCACTTATTGAGATAGAATGAAAGTCAAAAAATGACCTTGTGAGATTCTAGAGCTTTCTTTAAAAATCGAAGGTCAGTCTCCTTCTCCTTGATCCTCTGTAGGAATTCAGACTTGGTATTCCACAACTCCTTCTATGGAATAACAACACAACAGTAAATTAATATGTGTTTTTGTGCCAGGCCGACCCCCCGGGCACCGACGTCAGCGAAGAGTGATGGTGGGAGGAGGACGTCCGCTGTAAGAGAGGACAGGAGAACAACGACAACCATAAGCGGCAAGATGGCGGCACCCGAATTGCGAAGGCCACTAGACCAGGGGTGTCCAATCTTATCCATAAAGGGCCAGTGTGGCTGCAGGTTTTCATTCCAACAAAGCAGGAGATCACCTGATCTGCAGTTTTAAGACTGATTAAATAAGGGGAATTAGGTGAGCTCCAGCTTGTTTTGGGGGAAAACCTGCAGCCACGCCGGCCTTTTGTGGATAAGATTGGACACCCCTGCAATACACTATGCCTGATGTTTGGTCCTGGTGGTCGAGCTGCGGGACGGGGAGGCACAGCAACAAGCTCTCTTTTCCTCTCAGCTCAGGTGAGCCTTTAAAGGGAGCAAAGAGGGAAGGGAGAGAGGGACAAGCAGTAGCAAGAGAAAAGGACTGGTGAGCTGAAAAGCTTGCACATGGAAAAAGGACTGAAAAGTGTAGTTTAGGAGCCACTGACATTTTTTTTGGTTGTGGCTTTTGTTTGTGCTTTGTGAGTGCTACTGTCTCTCCTGCCTCCAGTATCCTTCCTAATTCTGGTGTACCTACAGTGGTGCCGAAACCACACCATCATCAGCTCATGGACGAGAGTTCCTGGCTCCGCCTTCCGTCACCACCCCCACCCTGCAGCTCGGCCACAGGGATCAAATGTCAGGCATAGTTTAGTGGCCTCGCTGCAGAAAAGAAGGCAGGGCCTCGGGCACTTCGGGATGCGGGCGTCATCCTCATGCCTTTCTGACCATGACTGTTCACACACCCTTTCCCACCACTGACCTCCTCTTCCTGCTGGCACTAACAGCTGTCTTCAGCATGCAAGATTCAGGAACGACCTTCCCACCCTCTCCTGAGGCTGTCACTGGTGCCTGGGGGATTTGCCTGGCATAGTTTTTAACTGCTTATATCTCAAAGTTTCATTACATTTCCACATCAGTGTGAAAGATTTTGCAGGTGACAAGTTTAACCAAAACTGCTGTTGAACCAACGTAACATAATGGCTCATACATTGAGCTGCCAAAAGTACAAACACCAGTTATAGCATAATCATAATCCCACCTGTTAGCTAAGTTTGGTGAAAACCACATTAAAACTTAGAAGCAACACATTACATAGACTTGCTTCAAATTAAATGAATAGATTACCTGTTTTTCCATTCTGTAAGATGCAGCTGTCACCGTTGTATGTTCACTATGTTTATCCATGGTGCAAAAAACACAGATGCAGAGCTGGTCAAAGTGACAATAAACCTCCAGAGGTTTCTGATGTAGAGAGCAGACCTGCTCTTGGAGTCGTTTGGTAGCTTGGATCAGCCTGTGGTTAATAAAGGCAGGAGATTCATAGTGAGGCTGGAGGTGAGTCTCACAGTAAGAAGCCAGACAGACCAGGCAGGACTTCACGGCTTTCTGTTTTATCTTAGTGCAGAAATCACACTCCACGTCTCCAGGTCCAGAGGCAGGTGCATTCACCCTCGTCTTCATTTCCTCCATTTCAGCACTAAGAGTGTTCTGGTTGAGGGCAGGTCTTGGAGTGAAGGTCTGTCTGCATTGTGGGCACCGGTATCCCTCTGTCTGAACATGATCTGAACCATCCTTGATGCACTCCATACCATAGGCATGTCCACAAGGAGTAGTCACTGGATCCTTCAGCAGGTCCAGATACATTGGACAGTTCTGATTATTTGAGCTATCCTCTGCCATTTCAGAGCTCTCAGTCATACCACTGCAGAGAGAAATGTGATAAAATCACTTTCAGTTCTGAAAGTTACGCTAAAATGTGGCATCTTGGTACAACTGGTTGGGTGAGGTTTTGATATGTTGTCCAGGGGCGATCACACATGTTCTTGAAATTTCTTCTGTAAATTGTCCAGAATACAGTTGTAAATAAATAAATGAAAAGCCCTTAAAGCCCAGTCCACACACTTAGAGTTTAAACTGAGAGCTACATACTGAGTTACCAGTTTATTAGCTATCCAAAATGGTCCATTGTGCAAGTCGTACACCATGTGACTGTGTGAGATATAAATCAGCCACCATCAGATAGTGCTCAGCTGGGAGCTGGAATAAGTAAAATGAGTTAACTTGCTGCTAGGTGTGACGTTCTCACCTCCCATGACTCTCATGAACAGATGTTTTTAAGTGTTACCGAGAATAGACCTCCAACCATTCTAATAAGAAATTCATTCTTAAAACTCACATAGTTTTCACTAAGATTCCGACATTCACCAATGTTTTCCTATTTTGGATTTGTTCTTACACTTAAAAAAGATAGTTCTTAAAGGGTTCTTTAGTACAGAAAATTGTTCTAAATAGAACCATGAGCACTCAAAGAATCCTATGCATGATTAAAGGGTTCTTGATGGAAAATGTGCAAAAGGAATGTGCAAAAGGAATGTGCTATATATTTTGAAAAGAATTCTGTATAACACCAAAAAGGGTTGTTCTATTGTAACAAGCTTTACACCATAACAATAGAAGAGCCCTTTTGGGTGCTATATAGAACCATTTTTAAGAAGGTTCTATATAGAACCATTTACAGCGCATTCTACATCAGTCTGGAAAATCCTTATGTGATGTAAAGAACGATTTAATCAAATCGTTGAGTGTCCGTTGTTATATATAGAACAATTTTCTTTACTAAAGAACTCTGAAGAACCATCTTTTTTAAGAATGTAGCTAAGAACAGAATCTACACACACTCAAGAGCACAAAGATGTGAACAGTTTTGCAGTTTAAAAACATATCATGAATTTGGCATAGACCTTTTCCTCAGGAGAACAAATATAAGAAAAAAACTTGCAAATGAGGCCCACTGTTGTGAAAAGCATTGGTCAAATGCAGTCAAATAAAGAAAACACACTACCTATCTAGAATCTATATCTGTGACTCTTCACATAAAACCAAATGTAGTAAAATGGTAATCAGAGCTTCAAGCTCCTCCATTGATGCCACTGTTGTTTGTGTTTGCTGTTAATGCTAGTGTGTGAGATCACATGACCCCACAAGCAAAAGAGAACTCTATCTACTTTCAAGGTTCTGTTTGTTGTAAAAAGCACTATATAAATAAACTTTGACTTTGACTTATGTAATAGGGAAACTGCACAGGTACTAGACCAGGGTACAGATGGTTCTGGGTTCAGATTTTTAACCGTACAATGTGTTGTAACGTACTGCCTGGTGGAAAAATGCCACAAACCAGTAGTAGAGGCATCCAGACAGCTGGAACAAAATCCTGGGGAATCTTACTTTCTAGACCTAAACTACCCACCTCCGGTCAGAGGAGCTGTGGGAATGGTCAACTCAGTCAAGGAAGTCTGACTGGTTGTGCTTATCACATTTAGATGAAGAAGCTGATAAATGTGGCCTTGTTGCATCACTACATGTCTTCTGAAAATGCTTTACATTTCCCAAATTGCATTGCAGTGTGTGATGCAGCTAGGACAAACCAGACACTTGCGGATGTAAAAAAGATGACCGCAACGACTGCCGTCCACGCTGCTGGAGGCGTCCCAATGCAAACTACTGAAGCTGCAGTGCAGGACCGAAGATCATGGACTAGAATGACCTCTAGAATGACCACAGCACAGACCAGTAGGAGAGCTGGACAAATAACACCTGGGGCAGCCCCTAGGCCTAGGGGCAGGCTTTTCTGAATGGAAGTCCTCCACCAACCCCAGATCCAATATATCATTTGCCAAAACCCAGCAACGTTCCTCAGGACCATATCCGTCCCAATTCACAAGGTACTGTAGAGCACCACCTGTCCTTCTGAAGTCCAGCAAGCGATGGACAGTATAAAGTGGAGCACCCTCAACGTTACCGGAGGTGGGGGCTCGACATTGGGTGTAGCCTCATCCAATGGACTAGGGACCACTGGTTTCAGAGGAGAGACATGGAATGAGTTGGAGACACGGTACTGAGCAGGTAACTCAGGCTTATACATAACACCATTAACTCTCTGAACAACCTTGAATGGACATACTTTGGTTATAGTTTCTTATTCCCCTCAGTGAAGTCTCTGGTCGACAACCAAACCCGATCCCCAGGGAGGTAGGTAGGCATGTCACCCCAAGACGATCATCCAACCTCTTATGTCGACCTGTTCAATTCTTTGATGTGTTTGTTCTCAGACCTGCTCACTCCATTGCATCCAATCATTGATGGCAGGTACATCAAAGGGTGTGGCTGACCAAAGCAATAGAGGTTGTTGATGTCCTAACATACATTGAAAGGGAGTCATGCCAGTCACTAAACTAACCAGTGAATTTTGAGCCATTTTGGCCCAGGACAAGGATTGGGACCAGGCTGCTTGGTTCTCCTGACAATACTCAGAAATTACTGCTGTAATTGTAAATGAATCTATGATGCAAGACTAAGGAAACATTGGAGCTCTTTTATGGAGGTTAGAATGGGCCAGTTTACTACTGCTTCAATCTTTTTGTCGTCCTTAGTGACACCCTCAGGACTAATGATGTAACCCAGAAAAGAGACAAATTCACATTTCTCACCTTTTACAGACAACTGCTTTTCAAGTAGGCGGGTGAGAACAGAACGGACATGATGAGAACATGAGTTTCTACATCAGGAGAATAGATCAGAATATCAATATATGCAATGATATGTTGCCCAAGCATGTCTCTTAAGACATCATTTACAAGAGCCTGAAATACCAACTGAACATTACAAAAGCCGAAGGGCAGCACCAAGTACTCAAAGTATCCCTGGTGGTGAGAAATGCTGTTTTCCATTCATCCCCTTCTTTTACTTTGACCAGGTTGTAAGCACTTCTAAGATCTAATTTGGTGAAGACAGATGCCTCACAGAGTTGTTCTAATGCTACTGTAACCAGTGGCAAGGGGTATGCATAAGACTTCGTAATCTGATTAAGACCACAATAGTTGGTGCAAGGTCTGAGCCCCCCCCCAATGTTTCTTTTTTACAGAGAAATACGCAGATGCTGCAGTGGATGTAGAGGGATGTATGAACTCTTATTCTAATGCCTGTTGAACATATTCTTCTATAGCTTTCTCTTCAGCTTGGGTAAGGGGATAAATTCTAGATAGCACTCTGAAGGGATGTCGACAGGAGCATTCGGGAATCGGGCCTTTCAATGGTGGTTGACTGTACAGCTAAGGTACTAAAGGTTAAACAGTGCTCATGACAGTATTTGGACCAAGAGAGAATTTCTGTATCAGACCAGGAAATAATGGATCATGTTTTCAAGCCAAGGCAAACATATTAATAATAATATTTCATAATTCAACAAATCCAAAACAAAACAAATGGATCTTGTCTGAGTGCCAAGCACTAATGGACATATTGAACAGGTTTGATGAGCTGCAAAACAATTCCCTCTCTGACTGGGTTTCCATCCACTGCAGATAGGGCTAATGGAGATTTCAAGTTCTACGGGCAGTTAAATTGGTCCACCAGCTTGGCATGGATGAAGTTGCCCTCGGCTCCAGAGTCAATCAGCACAGAAAAGACAGAGACAGACTTGAGGCAGAGTTAAGGGTCAATGACAGGAAGAATGAATTCAATACCAACCCCGATGTGGGTGTACTCACCACATTAGCACATGTAGTGGTCTCCAATTGCCATAATATAGATATTAAATGCCAATAATATAGACATTAAGTGCCATTAATGTAGATATTAAATAATATGGGTACAAGATTGAACCTTGAGGAGACCTCCTTAGTTACTGGTAGTAGCTCTGATTTACTATGTCCCAGGGCCATCGCTGTCTATCGGAGAGATAATTTCTAGTCCAGTTGGTAGCTCTGTGGGCAAAAAAATAATATTTTGTACGCTTTTTAAAAGCAGGGAATGATCAACTGTATCAGAGGCTTTGGAGAGATCAATGAAAATGACGGCATGATGTTTTATTATATTGATGGAAGTGATCATCTAAGAGGAGTGTAGCAGCAGAGATTGTTCTATGCTCCTAGGCAGCACCTCCTTTGTGGATGTATTGTTTTCCAGACACTGTGAATTCTGCTTGATAAAACAGATTGATTAAAAATGTTTGTCATGTGTTTTAAAAAATGTATAAAAAAGGGATCCAAACTGTCCTTTCCTGTACTTTTAGTGTCATGGTGTTGAGGGCTTTAGCTATGCGAGAAGAGAAAGGGTGAATTGTAAAGAGACCACCTCTTACAGCAGGAAGTGTATCATTCATTAAAAGGATGTTTGAAACTGAATTTGTAAATATCCAAAGGTAAAATCCTGCTTGAGCTTTCCTAAAGTAGGAAGTACATTTATTCCTTAGCTGCCTGAAGGTAAGCCATTGGCATCTGTTCCCATTTCTTCTTGCGAGGGCCCCTGTTTTATTTCTTGCATTGAGCAGGGAAAATATTTCAGTGTTTAACCAGGGATTAAATCTTGAATTCTAACATTTTTATAAGGGGGAATGCTTGTTTGCCACAACCAGACAAGTTGATATGTAGATGTTTGGTAGTGTGATGAATGTCACCGTGTGCCAGGTCACGTCTTGGTCATTAAAATGTTTAAAATGTCTACTAACCACCATTCAGAGCCTGACTTTTTTATACCAGTGTTTCTAATGCATCTGTTAGTGTAGTGGTCACTAAAACCAAATACACATATAAAAGTAATTATGTCCATAATTTTATCTTGTAAGGTTGACTTGGTTGACTTTATTAGAAACATCTACTTTGTGCTTCCACTAACTGGTCACT